AAAGAGCAGCCAACTCCAGTGTTTTGTAGACCTTCCACAACCTTTTCGGCAGCAGATATGGCGGGCGTGAACCTTCGAAGGGTCTTGGGAATCGGGTAGGCATGTCAAAATTATATAATTACGCTACCTCGGTGTTGGGACCGCTTCAAATCGGAGTTCATTTTCTCTTTGTCCAAGCAAGGATGCCCCAAGCTATCTCAACCACCCAACCCACTCGAGGGTAGACATTGTTGCGATTGTTGAATTTCGGGAGTCTCCAATCGGGAGCTCGAATAAGTCACTAAATCGCCCGGACGTAGGGACCTTGCCATGTCGATCCCAAGAAGGTAGCCGAAAGCCGCTAAGCACTGAAAGACAGACTAGCAGCCTTAGGGTTTCCCTAAGGGTCCAGGTACCTAACCATCATATACTCTCCCAAATAGTAACCTACAGACCTACTATCCGAAACCTAAGTACCTGATTATTGGGTCCTTTGGATCCTTGGGGTTCAGGCTTTATGAGTTTTGGGAGTTAGGGTTTAGGGTTTAGGGTTTATGAGTTTGGGGAGTTAGGGTTTAGGGATAACTACCCGCCGAAATCATCCAACCCGCTCCAGGCAAGGCTAAGGAATGGTTCGTCACAAGGCATCTATGATCAGTTATTGCCTTAAGGGTCCAAGTGCCCAAATAGTAGAAACTCTGGCCTTAAAGTAGTCCCTATGTGGGTACTTTGGGACCAAAGTATCTACTATTTGGGCACATGGACCCTTAGGGGTTATTGGGGGTGTAGGATTCATTGATTAACCCTGAACCCTAAACCCCAAACCCTTATAGGGAGGCCTACCTGGTTTTCCTCTCTGAACCCTTAATCTCTACACCCTGGATCTAAGCCGACGGCATAAGACTCTCCCTTATGGTTCCTTCAAACATACCGTAGCCATATAACGTGTATCGTCCACATAGAGGTTCATACTAAAACATACTTCTAAAGCAGCCACCCTAAACCCTAAACCCCTAAGGGCCCTCCATTCTCCTTCAAGGCTGCCTTCGTACTGTTTTCACACGGCCTTGATTGGTCTTGAGAGGGTCAAAGATACGGGCCGGAATGATTGGAACAGGTTTGGGGGAGGGCATAGGAATCTGGTTTCAACTTTGTCAGACACCCAGCCCTAAGCCCAAAGCCCTAAACCCCAAGCCCTAAACCCGAAACCCTAAAGCCTAAACCCCTACAGCCTAAATGGTATCTTAGTTTTACGGGCCTAGGGTTCGCCACTTGACGGCGCGTGTGGGTCGGCTTCCTGGTTCGGGGTTGTTGGGCATTGCTTAAAGCGTAAGTGGGGGCTTAGGGTTTAGGGATTTAGCCCTTTAGGGGTTAGGGGTCTAGGGTTTAGGGGTTTAGGGTAATTAGTTTTCGCCACGACGGTCAGGCTGGGATACTGAAAGGGTTACACTAGTGTTTAGGGTCTAGGTGCCTTAAAAGTCACAATAGGGTTCGTTTCAGCTTCATCTGCTGTCGACCCCTGCTACCTCCTACAGAGGCTCAATCCGGTCGAAAGACAGATGATCGATGCCTGGAAAAGACACCGGTTTAGGGTTTAGGGTTTAGGGTCCAGCACATGGCATTGTAAGGCATACTTTCAGTGCTCAGGGTTTTGGGTAGTAGACAACTACACTCTGTCCACGAGTGTCGCTTCAACGCCGGGAGTGTGGACCTCTTGCATCCGGACCCTGAGAAACCCCAGCAACCTGAGAGGAAAGTTAAAAGCTTCAAGAGTTAGTCAGTTCAAGTTTTCACAGGATGTTGTGCTTCTTGCTGCTTCCCGGCATATCTTAAAGGCTGAACTAGTCACGGAGCAGCAGCTGGCAGCTTGAATGCGCAAGTTTCGCTGACAGGGCATACCCGTAGACTTCCGGGGTAGGACAAGCCCGCACTCCAAATTTGACACGCCCCACTTTGCATGTGCAAGAAACGCATGTGCTCATCATGCCACCCGCAACCCTCAGAAAAGAGATACAGAGAGGTGTGTATATTATATATATACTCCATACATATACACACCTTATCTATTTTTCTGATTTATCTATCTCTCTATCTTTCGGTTGACCTATCTATCTACCTACCTATCAATCGATCTATCTATCTATCGCCCATCAATCAATCTATCTATCTGTCTGTCTATCTATTTATCTATTGTGTATTCATCTGTCTATATAAATGAAAAAAGTATGTGTATCTACATGTATGTATGTATATAGAGAGCTCTCTCTCGCTCTCTCTCTCTCTCTCTGTCTGTCCCGCTCCATCTCCACAAAGCACATTTATCTGCCTGTCCATCGGTCTGTCGACCTATCTGTCCATCTATCGATCTATCTATCCATCTATCTACCTATGTACCTGTCCGTCTATCTATCTGATTTCTAACTATCGTCAGCAATCAACCAAAAACGTATATCTATCTATCTATCTATCTATCTATCTATCTATCTAACGACCTGTCTGTTTATCTATCTAGCTGAAGGTTTAAATAAATACAAAACTATATGTATATATACACACACACACACATCTCTCTCTCTCTCTCTCTCTCTTCCTCTCCCTCTCGACACAGCACATATATCTGTCTATCCATCGGTCTATCTATTTCTCTATCGATCTATCTATATCTATCTGTCTATCTATCCATCTATCTGTCTATCTGTCTATCTATCTATACTCGTGTATATATATATATATACACACATGTAAGTATGTATTTCATAATGTGTACAAAACGAGAAGACCATGCGCACACACACACACAGGCTTAAGTCGTTAGACCTTCAATACTAAACCCTTAGCCTGCAACCATCCGTAACCCATAACCCTAAATCTTTTTTTCGGACGTCGGCAGCGAGCTGATCCCACTTTTCATTCGCTCGGATCCTTCAAGGCGCCACGCCTGCCCTCGAAATATAATTTAGGTTTCTAGCCTCAACAATATAGAAGCCTTATAGTGACGATGTTGATGGGGTTTTGGGGTATGCTGGGTATATTATGTAAACTATGTGGTACAGTTATAAGTATAAGAAGCGCTATGCCACTCTACACTGTATTCGGGTCGCTTCCTGCGGGGCTTGATACCGATTTAGTTGAGTCAGATCTCTAACGTCGGCCAGGCTTTATCTAGAGCGCAAAGGGTTTGCATCAAAGCCATGGCGTTCCCATGATGAGCTCCGTTGGCGCCAAAGGCGCCACAGATGCAGATTCCGAGATCTCGGGATCGTCCTCCTCCTCCTGGTTCCATCTGCTTCTGGATGCAGTGAAATCTTCTGTCGCGCACTCTTCCCCTGCTTCCCGGCGCTCCTCTGAGTCCAGCTCCGGGGGCTCGGAAAAGCAGGTGCCTGTAGAAGCGAAGCCGCCGAGCCATGAGAATGGCACCTGCAATCCCTGTGTTCTGGTCGCTTCGCGCATGGGCTGCAGGCAAGCTGACCAGTGTCTATATTGCCACCAGCCCCATCCGGAGAAGATGAAGGTACCACACAGGCCACGCAAGCAGACCCGCGACAAGTACAAGCTCGCAATACATAAGATCATTCAAGACCATGAGGACCGGGCCTGCGCGTTTTTTTTTGCAGAGTTTGTCGTCTTTGGACCAGAACCTTGCGAGAGAGAGAGAGCTACCCATAGTAGGATCCCTAATTAATATCATGTAAACCCTAAACCCTAAACCATATTCCTTTGTCCTTGCTAGGTAGGAGGCAACAAAAACCATATTCCTTAATGGAGGGATAGTGGAAGGTCTGGAGAGAGAGGGAAGTACCAGGCTTGACTGTCTGGTACTTAGTAGGGAATGGGGGAATGGGTTATATGGACTACTATAAGGGACCTTAAGGGACTACCATAGGGATCCATTCCCCCGTTCCCTACTAAGCACCAGACAGCTTGAGGGCAGGGAGGAGTCCCGGTCAAATCTCCGCTCTTGGGAGTCCAGAACGAGGACCACAAAGGCCCCCAAACCCTAAATACTATAGGGGCCTTAATAACTGTATATATATATATATGTAACATATATACATATATATATATATACATGTATATATATATATATGGGGTTTCTTTTTTATGATTATAGTAGAATGGGCCCCAAAACCCCAAATGCACAGAGCCCAAGAAGGGTCTCCGGAGGTTCTGTGCGGCTGTGAACTTGGATGATAGAAAATCCCGACTCACCAAGTTGCTGTGATTAGCTGCTGCGGCGACGACGCGATGAAGATGGTTGTGCTGACCGTGACAGCAGTGGCCATTGCGACATCGGCAGCAGCAGCTGGAACACGAACAGCCGCTGCAGCACGAGTACCAGCAGCAGCACCAGGTCCAACATCAGCTGCAGCAGCGCCCGAGCCATCGGCAGCAGCAGCACCAGCAAGCAAAAGGCGCATAGGGAAACAACTCGTTTAAAAGGCGCATATTTGCATAATCTTCACAACGGCCCAGCCTACTTGCAAGCCTTGCAATGCCTGCGTGCGAAACACTCGGCTTCGCCTGCTGAACAGGCCACTCTCTCGAGACGGAACCCGGAAACTCGAACACCCGTAAACCCTAAACCCTAAACCCTAAACCCTAAACCCCTAAACCCTAAGCCTTGACCGAGCAAGGCTAGCCTCAGAAGCGACCACCCTCTTCACGACAGTCTGGGATGCCGAAGAAACCATGGCTATGAACTGTGTCAATAGACCAAGCTGAAGCCAAATTCAAAATAATTTCACCTAGACCCGGAACTGCAGCACGTTTTCGGAACCTACTGACTTTTCGGATCCCATGACAAGAACACAAGTCAACCAACATAGTGTTTGCACACCTGTTGCATGTTTAGGATCCCATGACAAATAGTCTGGTAAAGAAAAGTTATTGAGTGACAATCCAGGGTCTATATACGAATTTTTCTATAAGACTAGATGCTCCGTACATATCTCATGCACAACCCTTAAAATTTTATGCATCCTAAACCCTAAACCCTAAACCCTTAAAATTTGATGCATCCTGAAGGACAGCGTGGAAAAGGCACAGGAAGATCTCCAGGAGCGCTGTCTGATGAGAGTTTATTGTTCATGATAGTGTTACTATGGTTATCATTGCCATTACTACTATTACTCATTATCATATTATATTGCTGTTATTATTGACGCTGTTGTTTTGTGGGTGTTACTGATGTTCTTATTATTCCCTTTCTAGTTACAATGATTATGTTCCTCATCATTTTCGTTGTTGCATTATTGCTATTCTTCTTATTATTACTGCTTCTGCAGTCGCAGAAGCAGTGGTAGTCGTCGTCGACGTCGTGGTGGTGGTGGTGATGGTGGTGATGGTGGTGGTGGTGGTGGTGGCGGTGGTGGCGGTGGTGGTGGTGGTGGTGGTGCTTGTACTGTTATTGTTGTTGACTTGCGGATATGATCTTATTGGTTAGTCTTGTTACCATGAAAACTATTTTTCTTAATGATCTCATCACTATTAGTAGTAGTGCTATTATTGTTGCTCTCATTATTCTTGGCATTCGTATTATCAAAGTGACATTAGCCTTATCATTCTGATTCGGATGGTTGTTGTCAGTATTGTTTGTGGTAGTAGTAGTCGTAGCAGTAGTAGTCGTAGTAGTAGTAGTAATACTAGTAGTACTAGTAGTAGTAGTAGTAGTAGTAGTAGTAGTAGTAGTAATACTAGTAGTACTAGTAGTAGTAGTAGTAGTAGTAGTAGTAGTCGTAGGTAGTGGTAGCAGTAGTAGTTTCTGTATTATTTTGTGTATTCTTACTGCTGTCGCTACTACTTGTATGTATGTATGTATGTATGTATGTATGTATGTATGTATGTATGTATGTATGTATGTATGTATGCATGTATGTATGTATGTGTGTATGTATGTAAGTATACATGAGGATATATACATATACATATATACATATATATATATATATATGTATATATACATGTGCGGCCAGGCGTCACAGGGAGGGCCGTCGGCCGTGTTCTTACGCAAGCCCTACGCAAGCCATAAACCCTATAAGGTAGGGAGTGTTGCTGTTTCTATGAACCTTAACCTGTACGTAGTACCTTCAACCTTACACCCAACCTAAACTCCGCCTAAACGCAGGCTCTAAGCTTGAAGCAAAGCATAAATCGTCACCCTAACCAACCTGCACCCCAAACCGTCCCTAAGCTCTTGTCGATTCGCAGCCTTATAAGTTTTAACTTTAGACCCTGAGCCCCAAACTCAAAAGCTTGAGCTAAACCCTTAACCCCAAAACCCCACAACCACACCACAGGGGGAAGAGGGACCCCACACCCCACCCACGGGGGGGAGAGGGGAGGGCATCCTGGACCATGTGCCATTGGGGGGGGGGGAGGGCGGGGAGCTGCGGAGCGCTTGACCATATATATATATATATATATATATATATTTCTTTATTTATATATATATACACACACACATATATATATATACATGGGTTGCCCTTGGGGCTTTGTGGTTTATGTCTCAGGGCCTCAGCTTCCTAGAGTCTGGGGCTTATGGGTTTGGCTTTGTCTTTATTGTTTAGGGTTTGAAGTTCCTGACCTTTCCCGGCCGACTCTCCAAGCCCGGATGCAAAAAGGGTTTGAAGTTCAGGGTTGTTCTCAGAGTTTGGGATTTAGGGTTGTGGTTTCAGTGTTGCTTGATTTGGAGCTCACGTTCTACAGAAAACAGGATGCGGTTCCTGTCGAAATATCAAGCCGTTTACAATGGTGTTGCTCTGCCAAATGCTGAGCTGCGCCAAGCCTTGTCGATGATTTGGGAGTTCCCGCAAACAAGGGGTACCTTGTTTTGGGGTCCTTATAATAACGATCCTACTAGTTAGGGTACTATATTAGGGTCCCCTATTGTCGGAAACCCCCCATTTGGATGTGAAAGGCCTTCCTGTGGCAAGGTCCCAGGATGCCTTGAGTAAGGTGCCATAGAAACCCTAAACCCTATGGGGTTTAGGGTTTAGGGATTTGTCCTGGCGTGACGTTGCAAGCCAGTTGCAAAAGGGTTGATAAATCCTTCTAGAGTGCTGTTTGGAGCAGGGCCCCTACCTAGACGGAACAAGCCGGAGCACAGTCAGTCCTCCTTAGCGATCTGAAAGCGCAATCATAATTAGGCAAACATTCAAGCGCTTCCTTGCAAGACCTGCTGGTTTTGCAGTAGAGTGAGGCGTGCATCGGCATCCATATGGAGTTGTTCGGAAGTCAAGTTTGTCATTGGCCTTCATGTGCCCTGAGCCTCCCACTGCTTCAACCGAAAACTCATGGTGAGAGGCGGTTGATCTTCTCTTGTACCAGTAGCAAATCCAACAGCGGTCTAGAGCTCTGTTTCCCAAAGCCCTGAACCCTCAACCGTGGAAGAAAGTATTTCATCTGAGCCGGATATGCTGCATATGCTGTCCCCAGAGAGCCCAATACCCCTTGATTGCGGAATATGTCTTAAATCATAATATTAAGGCCCCTATAATTCAAGCTATATTCTAAACCCTAAACCCTAAACCCTAAACCCTAAGTAAGGGAGGTATTGGGTTCTTTGCGTCTCGCTATCAGATCCATCGAACTTCCCAGGCTCCGGGATCTTCTCTAGTGCAGGATCGCCGGGGTTCCCGGCTGTTCTAGATCACTTTAGGGGTTTAGGGGTTTATGGGTTTAGGGGTTTATGGGTTTAGGGTTTAGGGGTTTAGGGTTTAGGGTTCAGGGTTTAGGGTTTAGGGTTTAGGATTGCTTTGGGGGTCATAATCCTAGTGATCCCCAAGTCAAGCAACTATACCTCGAATAAGCCAATGGAAGTATTTTGTACCCCCAATAAGGGCCCATGAACCTGCGACTTCGGGGTGGAAGATACGTATAATTTAGGGTTTAATAGTGTTTTATTGGCTTTGGGCTTGAGGGTTTTACAGAACTTATCACTCAGACTCGAAACCCGCTGTCTCGTGTCCGCAGGAAATGGCGCGCCGGAGCCCGTACCTGCGCAACCTCCTGCGTCCCAGCTGCGGGTTAATGACTTCGGCTATAGGGCGCGAAGAAGCAGGAGAGTATAAGTGTATTCCCTAAACCCTAAACCCTACTTCAGCAACCTCAGGAACAGTACTGGCAATTAATCATTCAGGAACCGGTGCTTTAAGCATAGGGGTCGTTTTACCATACCTCAGTTTGAAAGCCATTTCTGTCCATTCAATCATCCGTAGATCTCCAGGAGTAAATCTTGATGCTTGTTGGGCCGGTTAGCATCATGTAGGGCTTCGGTGGCCGGTGTTTTGGGCCATATCGAGCCAGATCGCTGATAAATCTTCAGCCGTGCTGTGGAAATCTGTTCCGGGGTAGTGAGTTGCGGTTTTCAGGCTTTGTACTTGGTTTAACTTTACAGTCACTTTATAGCTTTATGACTTTTAGGATTAGCTTTTTTTGGTATTAGGGGTACTAAAGGTTATAATTTTAGCAAGGTAATAAAGAGCAACCCAGTGTATTTCAGACAGAAAGGACCTGAGACACTGAGGCATGGCATCCTGAACGCCATGTCAGCAGCTCCGGCCACACGGCTGTGATTTGCCCGACCGGCTCTAAATCCTGAACCCATACCTGTCATACTCCATTGTAGTTCCTTTTTTTGGCTTAACCAATTGTATATTAGGGATTTTTTGCATGGCAGCCCCAAAAAGGAACTACAATGGAGACTACAGGTAGAACCTAAAGCCTCTCAGGCTAGTTTTCGTGGTTTGACCGGTCGTTGCAAGTCAAACGGAAGGGCAAGCTTGCCGAATACCGAATCTGACATGATTGAGTTTGGATATTTTGGAGCATCACCATGTCAGAGTTATCGAAGTGATGCTCTTGTCTTAGGAGGCAGCATCTTGGCGTTGGGCAGGTGTTCTTCGGATCTTGTTACGGCTTCGGGGCTGGGGGCTGTAAACATTGCAGCCGCACAATATAGAGGCCTTAGTAATTAGAGTAGGGTTTTGGGGCCCATTATAGTATAATTGCAAAAAGGAACCCCCAAAAAAGGGTATTGGTAATTATTCAGGCCCTTAGATTATTCTCCCACTTCGCTCGCCCTCTCCACCCTTTCGTGGGCATGCCGGCCCGTTGTGGTCCGTTTCTCAAAGTTCTGAAGCCACATAAGCTTCTGATTCGAGTCTTATCGGCCTTCCCCAGGGTCGAAACTCAACCCCCCAGAGAACCCCAATACCCCTTAATTGAGGAATATACCTTAAATCATAATATTAAGGCCCCTCATAATTTAAGGTATATTCCTTAATTAAGGGGTATTGGGTTCTCAGGGCCCTTATTTAACACAAGTGCTTGTCTTGGCGCGAAATCCCACATCACTCCATCTCCAGGCCGAGGACTCGCAGATAACAACGAATTCCGAAGGCGGCTGCAGCGTTTCACCATGCTTAAGAGTTGAGGTGCGGTAGAAGCCTAGTTACCTTGTGTAGCCGCCCCCACCCAGTACTCTTCTGTGGGTTGCTTGGCCTCTAGGGTAAATTTAGTCGTGTTTGGGTTCCCGTGATTTACAGTTGTCCCTGTTGCAGACTATGGGGTGCATCGCGTGATCTGCTTGTCGGTAGATCTGCTTCAGCATCCCTGCAAGTCCTTGTGGCTAGGGGTGCTACGCGCTACTTACTTTGAGGAACTCTAATCACCGGCTCTGGTAAGAGCACCATGTGCACTTCAGCTTGGTTTGGCGAGTTCCAGTCGAGGAACTTTAAGCATCAGAGATGTTGGAGGTGGCGGCACGGCATAGTAAACCCTAAGCCCTAAACCTCATCTTAGCGTTTTGTTTCTCCCGTGGCTTTGTGTTTTGGCCTTCGGTGCCGGGCTCGAAGACTGCAAGTAGTTGTCCGAGATACTGCGGCAGATTCTGCGAATATAGGGGTGTAAATAATTACCTAGACTATTTTGAGGGTTCCTTATCATAGTTATAGTCTAGTATACCCCCCCAAACCCCATTAGCTGCACATACACGGCTTGACAACGGAACCAGGCATCTCTTGTCCAGCATCCCCCGTGCAGGGTCGTCGCGACCGGTTTAACAGCGCAAGTCTGAACCAGAGCAGGAAGCCATTCGCAGAGTTGCGTGTTGTGTTGGTTTGGATTTGTCTCGGTGTCAATTCACCAGCATGTTCCTTTGATGTCGTCCCCCTCCGCCTGGGCGTTGCTGGCAGCATTCCACCCCAAGATCAGCAGCAGCATCACCAGCGGGACCGTCATCCTGTCCCAACCTAAACATCAACATCAGCACCATGGCACTGCTATAACAATCTTCACCATCACTGCCAGTATCAGTATCACAGGCAGCTCTTCAAACAACCATTCCCGTCTCAGAGACTGCAAGCCCTTAGGCCCCATCCTCGTCTCCACGGTCACAAGGGAATGTTTAACGTCCAGGGTGTAGGGTTTAGGGATGTCTTGCAGAGTTGTACATGAACTTCGTATAGCTTCGATTTCGTCCTCATGCCCGTAATTACTACGTACGGCGACTACGAGGACGAAGACCACGACGACAAGCTATCAGCATGAGGTTATCCTGTCGGGGGTAGGCGCGGTGGTCGTGGTGGTTGTGACGGTGGTGGTGTTGGCGGCGGCGGGGACGTGGTTGTTGTTGTTGTTGTGGTTGTTGCTGCTGATGTCGCTTTTCGGTTGTATGTGTTCTGATTCTTAGTGTGATGGTGCGCTGGGTGGGTGAGTGTGGTGGTGACGGTGGTATTGGGGCGTTGTCGTTGCCGTCTTCTGTTGTTGCTAGCCCTTTGTTGTATGGTTGGTGGTCGTGTTGGTTGGCTTTCGAAAAACATACACCTGCATGTTTCACTGCAGTGGTGACCCGGTCCTTACCTTGAGAAGCTTATGGCAAACATGTTCGACGTGTTTTCTGAATGCGATCGTAGGTCTTTGCTGTCTGCTTGGCTAACTTCGAGACAGCACTTGATCGGCTTATCTTGTATTGCTTCGCTTTATTTTTAGTAGCTGCTGGACCATGCTTGCGCACGTGTAACCCTGCTACTTAATTGTGAGTTCTTGGCATCGGTCCGCCAACCATAAACCCTAACCTTAAGCCTTAAACCCTAACGCCAGAAGGCGTAAGCCATTCCCTAAACCCCATAAAGTCTAAACCCTAAACCCTAAACCCTAAGCTGCAGGTGCTGTTCTCCGAACGCCCGGGCCACAGCCGATGCAGCCTCTTGGCCCACCACCCGGGCTCACGCAGGTACCTGCACCATGGGCTGGAGGCACACGGAAGAAGCTTTAGCGGTGAGTTTAGGAAGGGTTTAGTCTTTGGTTTTTGAGGTTCTTAGGGGTGGATTATAATGGATGCCAACTGGATCCAATTTCAGTTGAAATCTCAAGGTTTAGCAGTCGCACGGTAGTCAAGGTGCTGAAAGGCTTTGGCAGATGTCTACTTCAGGTTTGTTCCAGGCGACTCTGTAAAATCCGGCTTCTAGCTACCCCCAAACCCTAAACCCAAAACCCCCCTGACACAGGTCCCGGCAGTGGACACTTCATGGACTCGTTCATGCAGGATTCAGACGATGAGATGGCCATGGTGGGCGCAGTGGTCGCTTCGCAAGGCGTGTGTAAGAAGCCCCGTTTGCACCTTTGAAAATCACTGTACATGAAGAATGCAAAATACAGAATATGAGAGTACTACTATTAATCACAATCCTAAGAAAATAAAATTACAGTCATAGTCATATAACTCATAACCATTCATAACAGAAAAGAAATAGTACCATACATGAATGTTAAAGCCTGAAGCTTGAACACCCACCTGGGCCGGGGCAGGGGGGGGGGGGGGGCGGCTGGATTTACTTGAGCCTGGTGGTGCTTGTAGTCTCAACAAGCACCTGGCGGCGGCAACTGGGACATTGGGCGTTCAAGATTGCGCTTAGGACCTGTGGCTTTTGGGTTTAGGGTTTAGAGTGGTCAAGCTGGGCTGAGGCAGCTGGGTTTCAGGCATGTCGGTTCCAGATATCACTCAGGCCCTCGAGTGTAATTCCAACCAGAAGCTACTGATCAACATCTCATGTCGCTTCAGTTGGCGAAGCAAAGGCTTGTGTGCTCTTAACACTTCCTCGCATGAAGTCAGACAAGTGAACCTGCCGAATCTAAGCATCTAAGTAGGCGGAGGAAAAGGAATTAAACAGGGAAGTAATGGCGAACGAAGAGGGATCAGCTTGTGTTGGAAACCGGGGCTTCTGCCTTGGNNTAAGCCTCTTGGAACAGAGCGTCTGCCTGGCTACATTGGAGAGGGTATGGGCCTGCCCACCCCGACTGCCAGATAATGTAAAATATTTTGCGCTACCCGATGATAAGTATATCCAACATATATGCTCCTAAAGATTTAGGAGTTTCCGAAAATAAGGGGTGCCTGCTTTTGGGGTCCTTGTAATGTAAGGATCCTACGATTTAAGGTACCATATTCGGGTCCCCTATTTTCGAAAACCGTCCTTTCTTCTTGAGTCACGGGATTGTGATTGCAGGTTTGCCGAAGCTGCCGTGCTGTGCTGCATTCTGTCTTAGCTAAAGGGTCATACCCCACCCCTTTTTACAGGTACGTAGCTTTTTTGGTTAGGACCTGTTACATAAAAAACGTAGGTACCCTAACAAAGGGTCTCAGTATGACCCTATAGGAAAAGCATAGAGGAAGTCAGCGATTATGGGATTCTGTTTCGTTGAGCAGGCTTGAGGCCCAGGGCTGTCTTCTCTACTCATTGCCTTGGAGATTGCGCAGTGTTAGATGCATTTTCTGGTCTGGCCGTAAGCGCTTTAGATTGCGAGGCGGTTAAGGTTTAGGGTTTAGGGTTTAGGGCCCGCAAACCCTACAAGCCGGAAACTTGAAAGCTCGTTGCGAGGTGGTTACGGCCGACACGCAGAGCCTGGTCAAGAGATGCCGTCTGAGGCGGCATCATCTTCACAAGCACCGGAGTCGGGCAAAAGCTCGAAGTCGTGCAACAAGCTGCGGCTCTAGCGACCGGAGGGGCGAGGGGATCTTAGGGTCTTGGTGCTTTGAGTCCAAGTAACCCGATAACGGTTGAAGCGCTAGGGGCCCCGTAACTATCCAGCAGGTTACTGGGCTGTAATGTAGGGCTTAGGGTTTAGGGTTTGTAGGCTTCACTTAAACTCCAAGGCTCCAGGTACCTGTACTATAGGGCTTAGGGTTTAGAGCTCCAGGTACCTGGCTAGTAGTAGTTTACTAACCCCGGTATCCCATTCTTTCACCAACTGGAGCTGAAGGGAAAGTTTAAGTACGATGTGGACACTAAACCCCTAGATACTAAACCCTAAACCCTAAGCAGAGCCCCAGGTTTGGGTTTAGGTGGTGGGTGTCGTGGCCAGTTTATCAAGGCATCGAAGATTTCGCTCAAGAACTCTTGATGCCATGGGTAGTCCTCGCTTGTACCGTGAAGTGAGAGTCGGCTTTGACTGACAAGTTACTTGGGAGGCTTGAACCCCGAAATTCCAGTCACACACACACACAGTGACTACAAAAGCACGCAGTATTTCAAGGCCCTACGCCTGAAACGGTGGCCCTGCTTTGGAGAAAGTTCCCGTAAATCCAAGAAACCCAATGCCCCTACCCACCAGAACCTGAGGCCAGGCGAGCCCAAATGGGTGGCTCCTTTAGCCAAGCAGCTCTGACAGAAGCCGCTTTTCCAACACACTCTGCCTGCTTAAAGGGACGCTCTGTCATCCTATGCTTCCAGGGACCTTATTATAAGGTTAGGGCCCTAGACCCCCTTTGAGGACCCATTAGAATAAAGTTCCAAAGGCCTAAACCCTAAACCCTAAACCCTAAACCCAATAATAAGCTTCCTGGAAGCATAGGGTCAGGTACTTTACATTCCAGCAGCCTTTCACTCAGCGGCACGAGACTTCAGGTCAGAGCCAGGAAGCTGATATTATGTTGGGTTTAGGGTTTAGGGTTTAGGGTTTAGGGTTTAGGGTTTAGGGTTTAGGGTTTAGGGAAGGGACCCTGATTTAGAGAACTACCCATATGACTCGTTATATGGTAACTATTCCCAAACCATACCTGACTCAACCCTTATATCTTTCTATGGCATCATGGCTGAGACGCAAAGATCGCACGTCAACGAATGGGGCGGACGACGAAGCCCCTAGCCCCTTCTACGCAGCTCCTAAGAACAACACTGCTGGCAAGAATCACTTGGGTCAGGCACCTCGACGCTGATGGTAATGAAAGATCAAAGGTAATTTGGAGACCTAAGTACTTGCCAATCTTATTCCTTAGAGCTCCTTGTGATAGTTATAGTACAACATAACCCAAACTCCTCTTGAAATTCTGAAGGCCCCTATCCTAGTCAGCTAAAGGCACAAGCAGAGCCAGTAGTGAGGACCATCAGGTTAATTCGAATACTGTGAGTGCCACGTTCGTTTCCGTCACCCGTTCTGTTTCCACTAGCGAAGTCACGATCTGATAGCATACCGTCTCGCTCAAACCGGAACCACTGTTCTCTAGTGATATTGGTAGCAGTGAAGCGGAACGTCATGAAACATTCTCGGGCAGTGCTACGTAACATGTGCTAACGAACGATAATGCGATGGGTCGCGATAATGACGGACGGAGCTGGCACGAGGTCAACGAGAGTATGAGATCCTTTTACGTATGTTTCCCCACTGTTTGTAGGTGGATCCGGAATAGTGCTTCAGAAGATGCAGCCGATGCGGGTGCTTGTTTCTGTTTACTTCTGGCAGCTGTCGCTGGATTCCGTACGCTTCTTTTTGCAGTAGTGGCATTCCGTACCAGCCAGTGCTCTGGATTGGAAATGCCTTAGTTTGACCAGGGGACTCATTTTGTCTCTCTAGCCCTGAAAAAGGCTTGAAGGCACCATTATCCCGCGCGTCAGGGATCTTCGGCATTGAGGATAAGGATCATTCGACAAGGATCATTCAACTCTCAGAGTTGCTTGCACTTTGGTATTGCATCACCACAGGTCACAAACGCAAGGGGGGGGGGGGGCACGGTTGTGGAAA